TGCAGCTAGTTCAACTTCTGGAAGACAATTCGTGACACATGCGGTTGCGCATTGTCGTGAATGAGCAGTAGCTGACTGGTGGCTGACTAGTGCTGGCTGCATTTGTCCCAGTTTCGTGTACTACTTGTGAATTTGATCACTATATGACTGTGCGGTGATGGCTTGACCTAGAGGAAGAAACGCGTAGTGGATTAATCCATGGTTGGATCACCAAACTGTGATCATTGTCTTCGTGACGTGTAAACTTGGTTTAGAGATTTTTTTGGAGGCTCATCCACACCCACCCACTGAACAGAACGCTCCCTGTTATCATACAGGATCCATTTCTCATCACACGTTACAATACGATGGGGAAAAGGCTCAGCATCATTTCTTAAAACAGCGAACTTGAAACCTCGAAACGCTTCAGTTGTTGCTGCTCCGTGAAATCGTGTGGCACCCACTTGTTAAGCTTCTTCACTATTCCAAGCAGCTCGATGTGGGCAGCGACGACTGTGTGGGAGACGCCCATCATCTTGGCATCCTCTCTCAAAGGTTGACGTCGATCTTCTTCCACTGCTCTTAGCAAAACATCGTGATCAACTAACGATGGTCGACCAACTCGCTCTTCGTCTTCCAGTGACCCGTCTCCACTTCTAAACTTCTGAAACCAGCAGCGAACCTTTTGCTTCGATGCCGTGCCTTCTCCCCATACAACATTGACGTTTGTGGCTGCATCCTTCACAGTTCGACCAAGTTTGAACTCGTGAAGTAAAACCGTTCAAAAAGCAGCCTTATCCATTCTGCTAAAAAAACCTCCTAAGAATTCCAAAACCTTACAGACTTTGGGGCACGCGCTATGACAGAAAGAGCAACTAGTGACTTACCTAAGGAACACAATATGTCGATTTGTCTGAATGGACAGCCGCCAAAATTTGAATTAATATCCCACGTGCGTGGGAACGGCCAGAACTTTCCTTACAACCTAATATAATGTGGCAATCGCTTGTTCCTTATCAGATTGTAAAAAAAAGTGCAACGATTGATGATGAGTGACGGCGACGGGACTTTTTCAGTAACGGACTGCTTTAAGAAATGCTCATAAATGGTTGTGGCATAATTGGTTACAGGTTTTAGCGCATTTATGTGAAACGATACCACTAAGAAATCACATTCATAATTTTCTTTGATGTAACGAATGAGTTGTCAAATAAAATGGGAACATTTTGTCACGATGTTATCGGTAAATGACTTGTGGTAATTTAGCGGACTTCACTCGTCCGTCCATCGCTTCCCCTTCTCTCATCCATCTCTTCCCTTCATCATCACAGCGCTTGCGTCAAAACCGTGGTCACCTCTACTCTTCACCTCGCATCATACTATAGATATGCCTTTTACAACGTAGTACCTCGCGTTGAAGTGCAAGTAATAACTTTGAATTGTCACAAAAGCACAAGTCACACAAATCTCATCGCCCGTCACTACATCGTGGCGTCTATACGAAAGCTGGTCTTCAACCAGCCAACATCCCACAGCGCCACTTCAAGTTGGTCAGTTAATCCATCGTATCCTGATCTCCATATGACAAGTTCATTGTTATCAGAGGACATTATTTTTTAGTTACACATATAGATCGCGTTCTCCTCGTCGAGATCGTGGACGTTCTCGAAGCCGTGATCGCAGAAGCCGTTCTCGTTCAAGGTAAGCAGTAAATTTTTCGCGGTAGTTCGCAATTGCTTGCAAAATTCAAAATAATAGAACAGAACCCCAGCACCAAATCGTGAAGAATGCAATGCATCTATTTGTCTCAGCGAATAAATTTATCCTTTTATGGTCGTTCCTTGAACGTATCTTAGAAACTAGAAGGTGGTTTTTGTTTATAACAACTCAGTTAAAAGTAGTTTCTGAGTTCCTTATCCTTACGTGCCAGCCTCATTGTGAGGTTCATCAATAGCATTATTAGGGTGCTGAACTATCGCTATACCGTGCTTGCGCCGTTACCACAATTGTTGGTATCCTGCCATCTCATAATGCCCTTGTGTGGTAGTAGAGGTTCGAAACAGGTTTCTAACTGTACCTATGAAAGCTTTATACGCAAAATACTGGACCCACCGCTGTACGATTTCCTGATGGAAAGTAAGATGGGATGGAATCCGGTTGCTGATAGGTCTTCAAACCACATATGGGACATGGGTAAGAGTCCTGGCTTAGGCTATGTGCGTGTGCGGCTAGAATATGCGATGTCTTTCCTGTGGTTTCACTTGAATGAGCTTTGAATGAATCTTCAGTTGCACCCTAGCAAACGCCTCTCAATTCTTTGTTGAGCCCTTTCATAAAAGTGCAGGAACGATAAGGAAGTTTACGTCGCAGAAGAACAGTGACGTTGGAATTCTGGCATCTCTGAAACTGGGTCTTGCTTCTCATTCCTTAATTGTTCCAAGCATAAAATCTAGACTAATTACGAAAACCACATGAACATCGTTACTGTTGTAAGTACATTCCGACTTGAATCTTTTCAAGGGTACAACCCTAATTCAATTACAGGAGCCCGATCTACAGAAGTCGCTCTCCGCCCATGGGAGGCCGTTCACGCAGCCGATCTCGCTCGCCGTCTCCCTAAAACAAGCATCTCATCCACATACGTTCAATCATTGACTTTTGCTTCGAGTGATACATATTTGCGAAGAATTTCTGGTTTTGACTGGAGTAATTGTTACTGATATATCTATCAATCTCTACTGTTTATTTGTTGTTACGTTGCATGAAGTTGGTTTCTGAAAGTGAGGTGCGTGGGTAGTTTTCTGCATTCATATAGTCAATAAACTTTTTTGTCAGTCGCCTTTGTCGTGTAAAATGTGGGGCATCAGAGGTGTATTGCCCTGAACATACATCTATCAATTAAATTGTGTATCAGTTCCCTCGGTTTTCGTCGTTATCGTTCTTTGACGTCCTATATGTTCTCCTCGTGAACGAGCTGCGGTTTCGCATCTATTTTGACGTCTGGAGGTTTTCTGTTTTTCTAATGATGAGAAATATGTTTTCGTCTATGCGGTTCCTTATAAAGCGGCAAGAAGTAACGAAGGCTACAGGAACTTTGATGGAATAAAACCGCATCCTCGTAATTCCTGTATTATCTAGAAATGTATACGTTACTGCGGAGGCACTTATGAGACCGGATTCGTGAGCTGGAATGCAGTTGTCGCTTCTATTGATATGGTTAAGTGCCTCTGTGTTTTAGGTTTGTATAGTTAATGGTGCATCGCACACATTAATCCAAAATGAAATTGTTTTTTCATCCCAATTCTGCATTCAGAGTCAGTCGTCTGGATGCAGCCATATTCTCATTATCGATCGCCACCGGTTGAGTAATCCCATTACCGGTCTCGGGTTTTCTGTCTTCGTCTCTTGATGCAGCCTATAAGAAGGGCCTAAGGTGTGACAGCGACGAGCGCTGCTGCCGTACGCTAGGGTCAAAACGGAAATCGTATGGTCCGAGAAGGATTTACAGCTGCTCACTTGGTTCATTGACATCAGAATTGTTTGAGATTAGAAGTATACTTACGTGTTAGTTATTACTGCTGACGCAACTGAACGATCATGCTCGAACACCGGCATTAGAAGTGAATGCGTTCGAAAGCTTGAGATTACCCTCGGTGTAACCCGATTTTTGAAGGTTCAAGAACTTCTTTTCAAAGGTATCAAATATCAAATGGGGGAGTTGAAGATCTCAACGAGCCTTGAAATTTGGTCAAATCAAGTCCTTGTTTGTTAGGAGTAGAGGTGATTCAGCCCTGTTGCTGTCACTGATAGAGCATAAATGCTCTTCACTGTTTTGAGTTCATCTTGGTAAAGAGACTATGATGGGTTTAGATGACGTGGTACGCGTGTGTGGGCGCCAGGCGCGCTGCAGCACAGCTTGTGCAATTTTGCAGTGTTCGTTCATTTCTCATGTAAGAATAAGATCACTCAGGCACAAGCCTTCTCTCAAATCCTTATGCCAATCCCTATGCGTGTGTGTCTAAATGCTCCAGTGGAGTCATTCCCCCTAATCAATTTTCTTTTTTCAATTAATGTGAACTGCGATGTCGGAACACACAGCAAGGGGAGTCACGTGCTGTTTACAGCGTGACCAAGGGCGCCCGCATTGACGTGAGCGGGTAATAATAGTGAGTGAGCAGAAAAGTATGCGGCTGTTGACTAGAAATGAGATTGTTTTCTTCATGTATTCTGTTGCCCTACCGATATATGTACTCATCATGATAATGCTTCGCTGGTGCTGTCGATCGACTTTTAATTTCAGTGGCTGCGGATGTAAGATGAATCGTGAAGATATCGATAGAATTGCCGCATCAACCTGCATTATATTTCTATCCGGTTTGGTGTTGTTCCAATCATGTCATCGTGCATCAACCATCTACTTTTTTGAGGTGACTTTTCCATTATAATTCGTTTTTGCTGAATTGGTGCTATTTCTCGTCTCTTGTAATGCAAGGGCTAACTATTATCTTTTCACGGTATAATATGCCTTCTGACGACGTTCTTTTTTCCCAAATGTCCGGTTTATAATTCCTTTTGATTAAGTTTTTCCTTGGTAAACATGAAACCTCTCTCTCTGCTGTTTGTTTTGACAGCTTCGCCCAATTTGATGACTAATTCCATACATTCCTGAACGTCCAACCTACGCACTCCTTGCTCTGTGATGGATTTGTAGGATTAGGAGAACACGGGAGTAGGCGATCTGAACGTTGTTGTGTGGAAGGGTGTTGGAATGTTTTTTTTTTACCCTGAAGAATCCCTCTGCATTGAACAAAGAAAGTTTGATTAGATGGAATGAGCCCCTAAAATTGAAGTTTTTTCTGAGGAGCTACCACTATCAACTTTAGTGCACCGTGCAGCCTAATGTCCCCCGTCTCTCTCTCGCCTCAAAGTCACTGAAGTTTTCCCTGACCTTAGCCCAAGTTGGAGCTCCATAGACTTAAGCTAAACCCAGTTTTGATTCGAGCTGGTTAGTTGGAGTAATGCGAGTCAGCGGATTGGTATTATTTAAAGTTGAACCGGGTTCATACCGTAAAACCCAAGTCGTACTACTATCTCGATTTGTCCTGTATTAATGAGTTTTTTGAGATGTAGCTGCACCCGCAAAATTTTATTGGCTAATGGTGGTGACGATCATGTTTCGTCATTACTACTCTGTTACAGTCACGTGATTATTATCGCATGAATTCTCTAGATGGCATTCAGTTTCTATGATGTGCAAATACCAATGGCTTTAGACGATTGCAGCAGCAATCGGTAGAATCTTTCGCTGCGAGACATAAACCACGCATGCCGTGATCGATACTGCGTTTTTACTGGGTATCGTCAGCGATTTATTAATTTTAATTTATTCATCAACTATCGCTATCATAACCACCGCTTAGTGTCCAATCGATTATGATCATCTGGAAGCCTTCTTTTGGTAGGCTCCATATTGAAAAGTAAGGAGCACTTTTGTTCCCCTTCTAGGCCTTTTTCTACCAAGATACCGAGACAATCTTTAAAGACTCAAGGGTTTAATGCTGACAGAGCGAGCGCCGTATCAGTTACAGCACGCGTACGTCATACTTTGCAGCAGCTGTGACGCCGACGTTTGATATTTGTAAATCTAACTGCTGCGTCTTTTTTTTTTATCTCTCGTGAAAATGTTTTTTTTTTGTAGTTGCAAACGACCACTGTAATTTTCATCGAACCAATACCAGCTATTCTTATACCATTCGCATTATCGGGTCTACTATGGCTTATATACAAGGGAACGAAAAGAAGCACTATGATAGAGCTAGAACGAAAGGCTATAATGGACAAAGCAAAAGAAATTGAGGTTAGTTGGAAACGGTATGAAATGATTCACTATCTCTCATTGTACGACCCCTAATTATTGTATTTTGTTGAGTTACTCGTGTGACGAATAAATCAAATAAAAGGTCTTTTTGTGTGAAGTTTAAGTACAGTTAGGCATTGTGAAGGATTTGAATAAAATTAACGCAAAGCTCGTGTTTTGATTTTTTCGTAAACGTTCTTCCGGCTTAGTTCCCTTGTTTGTGTGTAGTTATTGAGTTGTTGCAAAAATAGCCGCTGATCGTCGTAAGTCGTCGCTAAGCTACGATCATTTGACTATAAACTGCATTTTAATTCATCGATTCCTGCAATTTACGTTCCTATAACTACAGCATGGGCTCATTGGTGAAACTTTAGCTATGTACCATTTCCTTGAACTTTGAATTCATCATTGCGCAACGGCAATTTTGTTGCTCCATTTTATAGTAAGGGTGCATTTCTCAGCTGCTTACGTAGGAGTGTTTTTATTTTCTATGTAAGCCTTGATTCCTTAGATTTTTTCAATGGCCACGTCGTGGTATCTGTCTAATATGTAGCACTGGGATTTCAGGCAGCTTCATCGCCAAATTCTCGCAAGTCTTCGAGAAACGAGTCGAGAATGGAGAGTCGCAAAATATCACTTGTAGAAGACATACAACAAGCTGCACGCTTGAATCGTACGTTATTTTCTCTTTTCTCCCAGAATGTAAGTTAAGAACAGTATTTGTGTTATCTTCGATTCATTGTAACTGGTTCTAAACATTATAAAAGGACTGAGTTAACTAGTTGAAGTTTTGTCGGTTTGGAAGTAGTCTCGCTCTTTGTTTATCTTAAGCAGTATTGTCATCCCTAGTACCTTTTTTTAGGGCTGCTGTCAGATATCCAAGAACAGGATACAATTCATAGTCAGCATGGTCGTCGCCCTTCTGATGCAAGTGATACTGATCAAGAACGAAAGCCAGCAGGGTTATCGCCAAAGGCAAGCACTAGCGAATCATCAGGCGAGAGTTCACCTTCGGTAATGCTATCGAGATCACGATTTACATGCACCAAAGTCGAGGAACCGAAGCTCATCTTCCCTGGAAATGGTGAATTTATTTTTCAAAAAATGTTCATGCGGAAGCAGTGCTTGAACAATGTGAACACTAATGTGTACGTCCGTATCCCCTGCATGCTTGGCCTAGGCTTGTGGCACTCATTGCGCGGAAATGAATGCAAACCACTATTATTACCACAAGGACTGCTTTTATATGAGAAGCATTTGCTTACCGCTCACGCGGCTTTCCTTATTGACTTTTCAGTCACTGACTTCCTTTAGCCACCAACCGTTAGGCAGTTTTTTCTAAAATTGTCGTAGGGAAGGGTACTAGTTATCATCGAATTAGTTGGCGAATCCTACTGAATCGCTTTAGTTGTTCACTGTAATTGAAATAAGAGTCCCTCGATAGCAGAGATTGAAGTTGAGCGACATTTCACAGTAATACATGCGTTGCATGCAAGGGCGGTTCGCGTAGTATGGGACGTATTTTTGAACAAAAGTCTTTCCTCACTGACAGAAATAAAGGAGCGAGCGTGAAGTGCCAGTTTTCTTTCTACACTCAGACAATTTCGTGGTTCAAGTATCTGAATAGCTCCTTGGTAATGCAGTGTGTTTTTCTAATGTAGAGGGAGTGACGTAGTTGTGGCTATTGCTTCATGAAGCTCTGTTCACTTTGTGGTGCATGTGATTAGATGTTTTCGCATGAATTTTTGCTGAAATTTACTAATTGCTATCAGCCTGGTTCGGTTCCACGTGTTGTGTGTGTGCTACATCGTTGCTGTTCGACTGGCACATAATTTCGTTGTTGTTACATTTTAGATAATGCATGGCGCTTACAATCACAGCCAGCACCGAGAACCATGCTCCGATCGCGAAGCTCCACCGAGTCGGATTATCATAGGAAATTTAGTGGACGTTAGTTACAGTTTTTTGTTTTTTAGTTAGTGGTCTGTGTCAAGAGCTGTGTTTGTACGTAGCCTTTGCGGAAGCCGGGGGAGACTTGCAATCCAAGCTGCTTGTCATACTACTGCTTTTGCCGATTCTGCGAAGGTTTTGCATCCGAACACAGTTTGAAATTGTTGTGGGCACGGTGGTGGTACTGTTGTGATAAAACTAAATAGAGATTATCTTGTTTTTAATATGATATTTTTTAGAGAAGAATCCCAGGGAGCGGCTCTTTTCCTTGGACTCGGGTGAATTCTAGAATTTGATTTATTTTGTTGTTCTTTTACCTCCAAGTTGTGCACCTTCTACATTTTAGCATTTTATGTGCACTTTTGTGATGCTAGTGAGAAGTGGTTACTCCTTTGTGCTCTTGTGGGTGTCAGTCCAAGGATATCAGCCTCCCCATCATGGGAACTCGTACTTACTCATTTTCATTCATTTTATAATTTAGGAGTAGTGTAAGAAGTGGACTTTACCATATGTATTAGAGGTATTTCTGGGAGTAGGTCCATGTTGGGGCTGTTTCTGTACAATACTGGAAAAACATTCAGTAAAACTTTTCAAAAACAGGACGGACCTCTCATTATACTTACTTGGTACTGCATATCCTTGGAAATTAGTGTTTGTTCTGTTAATACTTCTTCGCATACTCGTATACATATTGTTATATTTTTTGCGATTAATTCTATGTGTTTATGTAGTTTCTGCGCCATGTACTTCCGGTTCGATGACGCTTCCTGATGATTTGCGTGGTCTCAGTCGAAAGTCTTCTGTTTCCATCGGGGGTGGAAGTGTAAGTCGGCTTTACGCTGGAGCTGATGATTCAGATGATGACGATAGCGAACGAGAGAGAAATGCGATCTACCAGCAAATCGGACAGGTATACTTTATCTGGTTAAAACTTCTTTTGCGCATTGAACACATACGTTTAGACGAATTTCTTCACTTATTCACTAAGTGCTCTCAACTTGCTACCGAAGAATAGGCCTGGTCTACCAGTACTTAAGCTGAAGTTAGTAAATGTTACCGTCACTTTTGCTTAGTGGATTTGCTCTGGTTCTCACGTTGTTGTTGCAGTTTCTCCGACATCTGGTCTGAGTTCTTCTCTGTTCATTTGCCGATTTGGGCATGTGTAGTTGCCTTCTACATAGTACTCCTGGAATTGTTTGGCGTCCACTTCGGTGAGCTCAAACTCGTTTCTTCTTACAGTTCTCAGAACTTCATTCAACCAGTTTATCATTTCAACAATCGACTTATCCAATGCAAAGTGGGCTTTTTGGGATGTTTTTATCGCTATGAACATGTGACTTTTCCGGTGATGTTATCAAGGAATCATTGAGACATTCATGGGATTACCAATTGTTAAGGCGATTAGCAATTTTGGGTGCCGTTCTCTTTAATGGAAACGCCAAAGTGATGAGGAATGACGTTTGAGTATTATTGCCGAGCTCTAAAAAGTAAGCACATGAGAGGGGTCAGCGCTAAAAATGGTCATTTCAGACATTAAAGATCGTTCTCTAATTTTTGTTTTCAATGTGGAGTTCGAGGATTTGGTTTTTGATAACTGGTTAGTACGTGAGGTTTATTCGAGCTTCAATGGCTGTGCATTTAAGCATACTATTTCTACTATCATGAGGAAGCAATGGTTTACTCGGCATTGGCATTTTCAATCGTTTTTGGATTGTTCCACGAGTTCTATGGCGGTTGGTTCACAAATGATATCCTGGCTTTTTCGTCGATCTACATTGTTTGCTCACGAGTTCAGGTATTTTACGCGATTCATTTAATGTAATGTAGTATGTTGACTGGGCAAAGATTGAAACCTTCGCAATCTTGCAATCTAGGACTGTGTTCTAATTCGTCGGAGCTTAAGGAGGTGTAAAAAATATACATCGAGTCAATTGTATCTTCTCCAAGACCCTATCTTTATTTACCATATTGTAAAGGTTTGCTAAGAGAGTCTCGCTTTCGAGTTCCAGGAGATAACTCACAAACACCCTATTAGATCCGATTCACATGTTAAGAAAGTGTTATTAGCCTTTACCAAAATCAGTTGGTGAATGCTTTCCATAGGATAGAGTTTTTTCGTATCAGTCTTGGGTACCGCAGAGCTCCTGGTGCAAGTCTCTGTCAATTCCAATTTCCAGGCCGTCAGCTATCAAGCAGCTTCTATTCTACTTGTTGGAATGGCTATCTTTGACATTTTCTGGCTCTACGTTATTGATTTGATATGTGAGTTCAGTGAATTTCGAGTAAAGGTAATGGCCTGTGCTATTTCGAGTAATGTAGTGCAAATGACCAACAAGCCTACATATGTATTGGCCAAAAAATACGGGAGTTATCCATCACGTTAACCATTTACAAGAATAGGGCTGGTTTTGGGTATTCCCTTATCCGTGTTTGTGCTCTAGCAAAAGGGACTGAACTCTGAAGTTAGGTATGGCTTGGTATCGGTTCTATAATTCTATCTATCCACTTTGTCGTACAGAGCAGCTACTGACGTCGAATTTTTGTTTTTGGCATTCTTTTGACTTTTCCTTGATTTTTTTGTGTTTTTCGTACTTTTCGTTATCGTTCCAGCCGTTATAACTCGTGAGAGCCGTGCGCCACTATTTATTACAATTCCAAGAGATCACCACGGTAATAAGCAGAGCCTCGCAGCCTTGGACATCATTGTGCCAGGTTTGTTTTCCTTGGCTGCGGACATCTTGCTCTCATGCAACTTTATGTTAGTTACTTCTGAGAGTGGGAACAATGTGAATTTGCGTTTAGTAAAATAGGTGATTTTCAGGAATATTTTTGAATGTCATTCAAAAATATAGTTCTATGTTCGATCCTGGTCTGTTCACCGCCACTTATGCGGCTGTTTTTGGTGCATTAACGGTGACAGTGATCATCGCTGTGTACAGGTAACTTTCTCAACTGTTAATGTGTAAAAGGACATTTGCAGCAGTGTGGAACTGGTTGTGTAGTCGAGTGAAAAAAAGATGGTAACTAATTCTGGTAACCGAAATGGCAATGATGAGGGGATGGGAGTGGGTAGGAGGTTCTTCTGTAGTCAAACATGCGGATAATCGGGGGAGGGTACTGAACGATGTTCTCATTAGAAGGAAAACTGAAGACGGGCTAGTAAATGGTGCGAAGAAGGTGGCCGAACGATAACCCCACATATGAGGCCTCATCAATGTCTACCAATTCGAATAGTAAGTTTGAATAGAATGCTTGTTTTTTTATATTATGGTATTTTAGGCGTAAAATCATTCCTGCGCTTGCCCTTCCTGCATTGGTGGCCATAATTGTCTCTATGGGCCTTTGTACACATCGTAATGATCTGTGGCGATTTATGATCAAATACAAGAGGGCGATGCCTCCAAAGAGAGTATAATGCTAGTCGAATTCTCATATAGTATGGTTCTCAGTGAATGAATCTGGCTGATTTATTGTATAGGTTGTCGTCGAGACCAACGCTATCATACGATCGAATCTTGTTCATATTCTCACCTTTCTTTCCTTCTTTCATAACATTTTCTATCATTTTTTCTCTTCTATTTGTCGTCGACCATTGTATTCCATCCATCTTATGCTCACTTCATGTTTTTGGCGTGTCTTGTCAGCGTGCTGTTTGTCATCGATGACTACCTTGCCTTTTACTATTTAAAGTATTGATTAGTGGTTACGATACGAGAGTGCTGCTGAAATTACTTAAATCCATGCATACGGTAATGTAATCGTTTCCAGTAATCAAAAATTGAACAAATGTGTTGTATTATTAGTGGACCCGGTGCCTTTATCACTCATTGTTGTACAGCTTGACTAGGACGGTAATGTTATGATAGAGGACATCGTCTGTGATAACATAATGTTGTCATTACATGTACGCATAACGCTTCTTTATGATTTAATAAAAATCTACTGTGTTTTCAAGAGTGAGTAGAAGGGTGACACAGTTGGAGCAGTGGTCGCTGACATACAAACCATCTATTATACTATGACCTCACATACCAAGCAGCTGAGGTGTTGCTGGGAAACCAACGACTCTTTGAAGAACCGAGATTAGAAAGAGGCTACGTTTATGGTCGGCAAACATGACCAGCTACCTTCTGATGGATGATACTTTTCAATAGAAGGCCGTAGAAGCAGCACAGAATTGTTACGTGATGATGCCTGACATGAGAAAGAGAGCTTGAGGAAACAAGACGTTCTCTAACAACCTCGGGATTTTCCTTTTTGGGATTACCCAAATACGAATGTATTGGGTTGTAAGGAAAGTTCTGGCCGTTCCCACGTACGTGCCATATGAATTAAAATTTTGGCGGATGTTTATACAGACTAATCGTCATATTGTGCTCCTTAAGTAATTCATTAGTTGCTCTTCCTATCATAGCGCTTTCCCCAGAATCTGTAAGGTTTTGGAATTTCTAGGTTTTTCTTGGCAGAATGGATGAGACCACTTTTTGAATGGTTTTACTTCACGAGTTCGAACTTGGTCGAACTGC